AAATCAATTTAATATTTAAACTAATAATTTGCTAATACATCAGATGAGCATAACCTATCTGAGCCCCTGTTCCTATACGTGCCCCACCAGTCTGTCCACTCATCGGGCTTTAACTTTACACTGGAGGTGCCCCAGGAGTACATCGATATGTTTGCGTACATTGAGTCCGATATACGGCGACAATTGGCAGCTGTTGTCTACGCTATGGACGAGTCTATCGGTGCGGTTGTGGAGGCCTTGCATTCAAAACAAATGTTGGAAAACAGTATTATTTTATTTATGAGCGATAACGGGGGCTTTCATCATAGTTTTGGTAACCAATAAATTAATAAATTAAGGCAAATTATCATGGTATATTTTAGGTAATGGTGGTTCTAATTGGCCTTTGCGAGGTGGCAAATTTGAGCTATTTGAGGGAGGTACAATTCATATTAATGTATAATTTATCATAAGTTAGAAAACTATTTTGAAGTTAGCATGATAGATATTTTAATTAATTATTAGAATTATAGGTTTATTAAAAGTAAACAATTATAAATTAATTTTATCATATTACAAAACTAAGGTATCAGGGTACCGGCGTTCATATGGAGTCCATTGTTGAACAAAAGTGGTTACGTGTCGGACGCCATAATTCATGTGACAGATCTCTTACCCACGGTATTAGATGTAATCAACGGCACCGGGATGTTGTATGATCAGCGTGTGCCAATATATGGTATGAGTATGATTTTTTGAAAAATATTTTTAAAAAACTACATTTCAAGGCAAATCTCAATGGAAAACACTGTCCAACGATGACCTCCCGGTGCGAACTGAGATCATCCATAATGTGGATCCCGTTTGGAGTATATCTGCCATTCGGTGGTACGACTGGAAACTCATCCAAAACTTTACGTTTTATGAGTACCAATATGTCCCTGAAAAAGCCCTCAAAATGTTGCCACCTCTCGGCTCCTACAGCTCACCATTCAATGCAAATAACCAATCGTTTCAATCATTACAGTCAATGGATCGCTTGAATAGTAAATCATATCAAGTGTTGCGGCAAATGAATAGACGACCCGATTATGAGGTGCTTAAGGGGTCTGTCGTTGAGTGCGGAACTACACTTTCGCAAGCTTTACACTGTACTGATACAGAGTTGTGTTTGTTTAACATACGGGACGACCCGTGCGAATACCATAACCTGATTGGGGAAACGGATCCCCAATTCGTGCGATTCTTGTGGCAGAAATTGGTTCACTTTAACGAGACATCTGTATACCCGTTAACACTCGCACCGGTGGATGATAGGGCTGACCCTGAGCTACATAATAACACATGGGCTAATTGGTTAGACATGGATGTCAGTAATTATACTAAAGACAGGAGTGAACTTTAAATATTAGTTTTATTGAAATCTATTATTGTATTTAATTGTTCACACAAAATATTGTATACAGGGAGAATTATTCAACTTAATTGTATAGAAATTAGTGATAATTTATAATTAATAATAAGAAATGATAATTAAATGCTAAACANACAAATAAAGTGCTTATACTTTGAATAATAAATTGTTTTCATTATATAAAAAGTAAATGAAAAATAACCACGATAATTAATGTTTTAAATGTAATTCGTATTAACAGTTGCCTTTAAGTCTTAAAATGCTTGACTACCTGTTTGTATGAATTAAATCAATGAATATGTCATAAATAGTGGGCAATAGTATTGATACCTACGGTGTGGTACTGGCCGTCGATTCAGTGTCTGTGTTGCCGACCAGTTGTCGAATGCTTTCCAGTGTTTTCAACACCTTTTCCTTCTCACCACTCATTAAACTATTAGTCTTTTGGCTCTCATTTAGGATTTGTGTCAAAATATCTGTCATTCTCGTCATCGGATTCTGTGATCCCTTCCCATCATTACTGCCTTCTTCTGAACCACTATTAAATGCAATCAATAAATAAATATTAATATTCTGTGAAACAAAACGAATGTTTGTTTTAATTAAGTTTCACTTTATTTTCAAAATATAAGTTCCGTTTTCATGACACAGATATGAATTATACGGCAATCAATGATTGACACAAACCTTATGTCCATTTGATTTAACTTTTGTCTCAACTCCTGGTTCTCGCAAACGATACGATCATAGGATGCCTTCAACGCCGACAACTCTTTCCTCAAATCATTCATCTCTTTCGATAGGCCATCGATTTGATCACTTCCGGGATCTGCTTTACTCTCAAAAATAATCTCATCATTATATGCGATATTACTTATGGCATATCCATCTCTTTTAGGTCCAACCACTAAATATATACGATTAAGTGATTTTAAACTAAGATGCTCAATGTAAATCATTTTGTCGGTGTCCTCGCAATAGATGCCACTAAGGAAGCGCTTCAAGTCTTTGATTGTCTTAACCTCATCGGTGTCCACATTTATTACTAGTTTATAGCCAGACTTTAACACAATATTTAATTTTTTAGACATCTTATTGCTGATCCACTTATGCTTTCATACAAATAATATAATAAATTATTAAATACAAAATTAGGCACAATGAATATTAGATGTAATTGAATAATGTTATAAGATATATGTTATAAGTTACTTGAAATGTGATTCACTTGACAACATAATAGTCAATCATCTCATATACCATAACTGCTAGGCTGCTGTGTAATCAATGTGTAAAAAGCAAACAAAAAATAACCCCGATAATTAATGTTTTAAATGTAATGCGCCTTTAAATGCAATGCTTAACCAATCAGTATTTCACTTATTTTGTTTACAGTACTGCAGTACTTTATACAATTTATGTATTAAAATACTGTACTATTAAATACGGAAAGTTAGTATTTTGGGTGAATTTATCATAGGGTTAATAATAATTTTATGAATACAATTAAAATGCTATTAACTTCAAGCAATGGTAAACATTTTGTGTTATATAACATTAATCACAAAGTTGACAAGGTTAATAGCTTTTTACATTCTGTATACTATTCTTGAATCTGACTTTCAAATTAAAGTTGAAAAAATAAACATTCAAATGTGTTTCAATGCAAATATGATTTAGCTTTAGTCAAAAATTATTAGTAAAATATATAACTTTGAATATTAGTTTTATTGAAATCTATTATTGTATTTAATTGTTCACATATAATATTGTATACAGGGAGAATTATTATTCAACTTAATTGTGTAGAAATTAACGATAATTTATGTTTAATAATAAAAATGATAATTAAATGCTAAACACTATTAATAGAAACAAAGTCTTTCCCAGAATTGTCGCAAACAATAGTTATTTGAATACAAATAAAGTGCTTGTACTCTGAATAATAAATTGTTTTCAGTGTGTAATCAATGTGTAAAAAGCAAACAAAAAATAACCCCGATAATTAATGTTTTAATTGTAATCCGGCTTTAAGTCTTGAAATGCTTGACTACCTGTTTGTATGAATTAAATCAATGAATATGACATAATTAGTGGACAATAGTATTGATACATACGGTGTGGTACTGGCCGTCGATTCAGTGCCTGTATTACCGACCAGTTGTCGGATGCCTTCCAGTGTTTTCAACGCCTTATCCCTCTCTGTATTCATACCACTCATCAAAGTGTTGGTCTTTTGGCTCTCATTTAGGATTTGTGTCAAAATATCTGTCATTCTCGTCATCGGATTCTGTGATCCCTTCCCAACACTACTGCCTTCCTCTGAACCACTTTTGATGCGATACACGTAAACATTAATAATATTATAATTATATAATAATTTTCTAAATATCTTAACAAAACGAGCATTTCAATTAGAAAATCATTTTATAAATATTTTATTAATCAAGTTCCCTTTTGAATTATTCAAATATAGGTTATACGGTACTTGTCCCCCATTTTGTGTCCCTTAACTCATTGACCCACTATTACAGGGTAGTTTACCTAACAATTAGCTAACCTACTTATGTAACATATTATACTTAACATGTATTGTAGTGATGCCAATCCAGTAGTGCAGTGAAACAAACCAACATATTGAGTAAATAAGTAAGGTTAATCTAGGCTAGGCTATGTTAGGTTAGGGGGGCTTTTCTGTAAGTGTGGACCAAGGGCTACCAATTTCAATGTCGTACGAAATAAGGGCCGGTTTAGCCTATATCCCGATTGACTTATACGGCAATAACTTGACAATAATTGCCACAAACCTTATGTCCAATTGATTCAAATTCTGTCTCAACTCCTGGTTCTCGCAAACAATCCTATCATAGGATGCCTTCAACGCCGACAACTCCACCTTCAAGTCATTTATCTCTTTCGATAGACTTTCCGTATAATCACTTTTGGGCTCCGATTTATTGACTATTAAAATCTCGTCCTTAGCGCCGATACTGCTAACCAGGTACTCATTATTACCAGGTCCATCCATCAAGAACAAACTATGCACGTTTTGACCATGGGCGTATTTCTGTTGGTTGTACACTATTTTGTCGCTCTCATCGCAATAGATGCCGCGCGCCTGGAGGTAAGCCTTCAAATCATGGATTGTCTTGACCGCATCCGTGTCCACATTGATTGCGATTTTATAGCCACACTTTAACACCACGCTCAGTTTGTGTGACATTTTTTATAGTTGATACATTGATACTTTCATGTAATTTATGAGTTACAATA